GGGTGGGGGTGGATGATTGCTTCCAGACGCCAAAGGGAGAAAAAGTGAGGGGGGAGGGGGTGCACTCCAAAGTTTGGGGAGTGGCAGGAATCCTTTAGTAGAAGGCAGATGGGTGGTTTCTCTTGAACCTTTGGGTCCATCTTTAGCAATTTTGGATACTGGAAGCTAAAACATATATCAAACAAAGACAAGGAGAGTTCTACATTCTGATGATGTTGGAATAAACCCTGGTGTGAAGAGACCTTGTTCTGTCAAAGTTCAAAGTACAAGACAGTTCAGAAACCTGACTTTGATGGATCAGCTGCACGTCTGGATCTCAGTGTTAATAACATTTCACTGATAGCTTATATGACAGAACGCATGTCAGTGTGTGGTCTGACAAAAAGAGGAGCCTTACCTTCCCTTCTAACATTTTGTTTGAACATTATGAGCGTTAAATAAAAATGTCAAGCACACTGTGTAAACAGTTTGGCAAATGCAGCCTGGAGTGCTTAGTTTACAGGAAACGTCACATAACTCTTGAGTACGGATAAACTGAGCAGTGATTAGACGTATGCAGTCTGTGCATGTCCCACATCTGCAACCTCTGAGAGGCTTTTTTAGTTTTGTTTGTGCTCATGTCTCTGCTGTTAGGCCACGGTCGGTGACAGTTACTATCAAAGCCAGATGGAACACCAGGAAGAACAAACATACCTCCTGCCACCTGTTGGCTTTCCACGTGGGGCATCCTCGAACCCGGCATGTCTTCTGCGATCGCGGCCGAGGCAGATGACCACAGTGGGTCTCCTCAAGTTTGGTTTGGTTCTGCGAAACACAGGCAATGTCCCGCTGCTTGGTGCCGCGACCACAGCTCACTGAACACTGGGGGGAAAAAGGAAGAAGAATTTTTTGTTTGTTTTTTTGTGGGTAAGACAAAAAAAGAAAGAAAAAAGAAAAAGAGAGCACTTCAAATATTAAAATATGTACAGTCATGTTTAAAAAAGGAAGTCCATGCTTTTTGTTCTATGGTTTTACATAACAGGACATATTAAAAATATCTGGTCAAAAAACTATTCAAATCTAACCACAAGTGTCTAAAACAAACAAGTGGGAAACTTTTAGAATAGTTGCCAAAATCCCCAACAGTGAAGTTCTGAGCAAACTCACCACAAGGACAGATTGTAAAATGTTCATGGAAATTGCTAAATTCCCAAAAGCTTCTTCACAGCCTCTTCAGGCCTCAGTTAGCAGTTTAAAGGTTAAAGTTCTTGACCTGGCAATTAGAAAAAGACTGTGGAATTACTCAGTTGATAGAGCTGCAAAAAAGTCTCTTTTCTCAATAGAAAGAAAATGTGAAAGCACAATTTTACTTTGAAAAGTTGTCTATGAATTGGAACAATGCTCTTTAAAGCAATGAGACCAAAGTAAACACTCAAGTTTGTCCATAATGACCAGCACCATGTTTGGAGAAAACACAAATCAACACAAACACCTCATGCCACATGTCAAGCATGGAGGTGGAGGGCTGCTGGTTTGGGCACCTTGCAGTCGTTGTGTCGACCATGAACTCCCCTGTAAACCAAAGCACTAAAGCCATCAGCTTGACCACTACAGTTTGACCCATAGTAGGACAATAGTTTAAAACAGCGGCAAATGTACAACAGAATGGCTGAAAATGAAATTAATCATGCAACAAGGGTCCAGTAATAATCCATCAGCCTGACTGAAATGAAGCAATGAGACATAGAGAGCTGCACAGAAACAAATGTCTGCTAATTTCAATGACATTAAGCCATGTTGTAAAGAAGAGTGGGCCAAATTCTCTCCACAATGATGTGAAAGACTAATCAAGTCAGACAGATAATGAGCACTTCAAGATGTTTTTGCCAAAGGGGGTTGTGTGAGTAGCTGAATCATTGGGATGCACAGTTTTTGGTGGAAACTGTTGTGTTTTTGTACACTGAAAATGAGATCATTTAAATTTTAATTTGATACATAAAAACCCTTGAACTGGGAAAAAAGTGGACTTTTCTCAAGACTGCATGTGTCTGCCTGTCATCCAGGGGGAACTCAGAGTAGAGCTGCTGTTCCTCCACACTGAAAGGAGTATGTTGAGGTTTGAGCATCTGAACATGATGTCTCCTGGACACCTCCTTTAAGAGGTGTTCCAGGCATGTCCCACTGGTAGGAGGCCCAGGGGAATACCCATACCCTGGCCCTTGCCTTCCTATGCAGTTCCGCTCAATTCTATTTTCCCTTCACTGCTCCATCTGGGATTTCTCCCATAGACAAGGATTTCGTCGGGAGAATTTTCATCCGGGCCTATCAGAGAACAGAACGTCGACTTTGTGTGCAGTGTCTCTTGTTGCTTATTTTACCTGGGCCAATCAGCAAACAGAAGGCAGAGTTTTAAACAACGTCAATTTTCAGCTCAGTGTCTGCTAGTTAGTTTAGCAATGACAGTGGAAGAAGTGAATGAAGCCAGTCCGTGTTGATGAGGTATCCAAATTAAATTAAATTTGTCTGACAAAGCAGCAGCTCTCATAAACAGTCGTCTCGTTCGGCTCGGTACTTCTCTCCTCTAGGGTTGTTTACAGGGCACGCGATTTCTGGTTAGCTTATTAGCTTAGCCTCCTTCACGGAGACACACGTTGTGGCCAACCAGTTCAATCATTTTAAACTTCAGCAGAGGCAACACCTCCAGCAAGAATTGCTTCTCTATAGCCGCGAATCCAGACCCGCGTATGAAGCAAAGTGAAGGATGAGGGTCTGATTTTTACCAGGCTAGAATACCCTGGACTCCCTGGAGGGTCTATGTTTACTCTCTGGCACGGGAACACCTCAGGCTTCCTCAGGACAAGCTGGAAAGTGTCGCTGGGGGGGGGGGGGCAAGTGTTTGGATTTCTCTCTTGGACCTGTTGCATCTGCAGCCCGACTCCAGATAAGCGGAAGAAGAGAGAGTTACAATTTTGCTGCACCCAGACTGCTGGTCTTCAAAGAAAAATGTTTACGTTTTTGTTTATCATGACATGAAACTTAATAAGAAATCCTATCTACATACCATGCAGTTTTCTATTTGGTGCAAACTTTTTTAATAATGTAGATAGGAAAAACAAGCCATCTGTCATGGCCAACAAAACACATTACATTACACTTAACTACAAAGCCAAAACAGATTTTATTAAAAGCCTTTGTTGAATAAGTCACATTCTGATCAAATGCAGAAAACTATGTAGCCTGTCAACCCAGGAATTAACCTAACCTTTCTGATGCCCTTGGGTCGAAATGACCTTTTTAAAATGAAGACCTTGTGGGTCATTTTGACCCAGGGGCAGCAAGGGTTAGAGGCTGCCGTGACTGACAGTAGCCAAGGTGAGGAGAAGGGAGGACACACTGACACACTGTGACACAATCATCTGGCATTAATAAGGTACCGAGAAGTATTTCAGCTTTGGCTCGACAGAGAAGAAAGTCTAATAAATGAGAACCAGACACCCAATGACAGCTCTGAAATAGGCCTGAGACGGCTGATGAAATTATTCTCTGTCCCCCATGAGGCCATTCAGCAATTAGGGTGCCTATTTCTGCTCCGCGGTCCAAAGATGGTCCAAAATGGGAGAGCTTGAATCAGATCGAGCAGATGACGAGGGGTAAATTTTGTCTTTGCATGTTTTCCAGCCCAGATAAAGAATATAATGATGCATTGTGCTTTAATTATGATCTCAGGAAATTGCATAAGACCAAGCACATGATTAAATTTCCTTTATGTGCTGATCGTAGCAAAGACGATGACCTTCTGTGTGAAGGTTTTACCATTTCTTTTAGATGACTTGTGCTTTTCCTTTGGCATTTTAGAAGTTAAAAGGTTTGAGAATCTCTTCAAACAGAGTGCCTTTTCCTTGTTGGTGCGGGCAGTGGGTAACACTACACACACACACACACACACACACACACACACACACACACACACACACACACACACAAATCAGAAAATCCAAACAATGTACGGTGCAAAGTAGANCACACACACACACACACACACACACACACACACACACACACACCATACATCAAACACTTTGTAATTACCGAGGCATTTTAAACACAGGGGCTGGCTCAGCTGACGGAGGACATCAAAGCCGAAAACAAAGCTCGAGTGACCGGCAGATACCCGCTGCACGCTCACTGAGAAATGATAACAAAACTCCTTCCACTTCAGAGCAGAGAAGAGACGGGCCAACATGTTGGAGGGTGGGGTGTGGGCTGGTGGCTACAAGTGAGAAAAGGGTGGAGGGAAAAGCCCCACCTCAATGTTGTAAAGAAGAAAAAAGAGAGAGAAAAAAAGGGAGGAAAAAAAGAAAATCACTGCAATATGGGCTGCGTTTCCCCCAGCTGAACTGTGCCTGCAGTTTAATGGTGGGAAAGATTTTAAAAAATACATTCAATGGAGACATGCTCCTCCTGCTAACCTCATCTGTCAACCATTAGTTCATCAGAGCTGGTAACAGAGAGAACAGAGAGATGGCACAACCCGTGGGACCAGAGGGGAGCTTCATCTCTGAGAGCAAGACAAGGGCAAGGACCCGGAGACCTCCGCTTTACCGATCCACAGCTGCTGGGGCCGCTTTACAGGTACAAACATTTCATTTAACACTGCAAGTGTGCCTGCGCATTTTATGTGTTAGTTTTTAAAACAAATGTGTCACAACCGAAACTTTATAACTGACTCTTTGGTAAAAAGTAGCATTTATTACGACTGTTTATGCAATGTTGGATTTGTAAAACGTGTGGCTCTGAGGAGAGTCAGAAATATGAGGGAGAATTATCAGGGCCACTCAAACCCAAATGGTGGGGAAAAATACCTAAAGCTAACCGCGTAAATCAAAAGGTTCACACGGGAAATTAAACTCTGTCGAGACAGATTTGCCCTCCCATGTCGCTGCAGCCATTAATTTCACATGATTATCCAGGTTTAATCTGGTATAATCCCATAGGGTTCATCTGGGCATAATGTAGGATTGTGTTAAAATGGAATGACTCAGCTGCTTTAAGTTTTGGCATCTGAAAACCAGCCAAGTAAAACGACTTGATTGATTTTTCTTCTCTCTCTAAGAAGAACGACATGCATACTGAGAAACATGGTTTATATCATTTGTAAAAACATGTTTTAATCAGGCAGCTCATAATTATTTTTTACTGAATAGGTTCACAATGGGAAAAGAACGAGTGCTTAAAAGATTTGTTTGTGTTTTTTTTCTGTACTTCAGAATTAGCCAAAAATTAAAATAAATGAATTCTGACTGAATATTCAGACACCTTTTTGTGTACATGTCCTTGTACAGGAATGAGACAAAACAACGTCGAGTCAACCCCACTCATGGCATTACTTACGTAAGCTCAGATGGACTAATTAAAACAAATCATTCATCAAATACACTGAAATTTAAAGAACTGGAAAATTGCAGCTTATCAAAAACAAAATGTATAAGTCTGCAGCTCAGTTCAATGGTTGCAGCCTAGGTAGTGTGCATTTGTTGGCCAATGATGTCACTGCACCTCACCGTAGGCTGTCCCATTTCATAGACTCCTTCTTACGTGGTCAACAAATGTAGCCCACAAAACCCTGAAAATGTAAGCTGCATCTGAGTAGCCTGTGCAGCCATTGGTATCCTGTGATTCACTGCCCAAAGCAAACAGGAAAACGAAGACGGGGGAATTTGGAAACTCATCAATGGTTGAACAAGTTGTTTTTAAATGTATGTTAGCTGAGGAAATTTTTGCTGCAAGGAGATGTTCAATAAAACGGAATTGCAAGTTCTGATACTGGAACTAAACCCAAATTATTAATTTTGTTTATGTCTCTACGCATAACATTTTTAATGATACAATTATGTATAGCTATACCTCCTGTGAAAACGTATGAATAAAGCTTCCAATGCATTTCAAGTCTGAAGGTATGTGATATAAAATGAATCACTAAAATAAGGAGGTAGTGCAAAATCATGCAAACATACATCATCCAAAGACTAGACTATCTCACTTCACAGCCGTTTTATGCAACCTACCCGGACTGTGAAAGGTGTGATCTATGTGGGTCACAATCTGCATGGTCTAGAATCCCTGAATTGAGTCACAACCTGCATGTACAAAAAGAGCTAACCACTTGATTTGGTCCAACTAGTAAATGTCTGAAATCAACTTTTGATATTTCTTTGTGGGTAGCTTTGTCTGAGTTGTTAAGGTATTCGTCCTCAATCACAAAGTTGGCGATTTGACTTCACCACTATTCAGTCACATGTGGAAGTGTCCTTGAGCAAGACACTGAATTCCCACTTTGACATGTGTCCCATTAGCCTGGTGAAAACAAGACCCTGTCCTTCACTTTGCTTCATACAAGGGTCTGGACTTGATGCGTAGAGAAGTGATTCTTCCAGGAGGCGTGGCCTCTGCTGAAGCATGCGTGTGTTGTTGCTGTAATGGAGGCTAAGCTAAGAAGCTAACCAGAAATCACGTGCGCTGTAAACAACCCTACTGAGAGGAGAAATATACCGAGCTGAACGAGACGACTGTAAATGAGAGCTGCTGCTTTGTCAGACAAATTTATTTTAATTTGGAAGCCTTATCAACACAGACTGGCTTCATTCACTTCCTCCACTGCCGTATGCTAAACTAACTAGCAGACACTGTGCAGAAAATCGACGTTGTTCAAAACTCCGCCTTCTGTTTGCTGATTGGCCCAGGTAAAATAAACTACAAGAGACACTGCGCAGAAAATTGACTTCTGTTCTCTGATTGGCCCGGCTAAAAATCTGCCAGCGAAATCCTTGTCAATTGGAGAAGTCCCAGACGGAGCAGTGAAGGGAAACTAGAATTGAGCGGAGCTGCGTAGGAAGGCAAGGGCCAGGCTAGTGTCCCATCAGTGCATGAAAGTAATTTAAAGCACTGATTATTTATCTAGATTAGGTTTGAAGTAAGACATAGTAGAGTGCTGTGTAAATGAGTAAATGAGGACACAGATTGTTGTTTAAAGAGCTTTGAATATCCTGGTTGGATAGAAAGGCGTTATGTATGTCCAGTCCATTTAATATTTACTATATGCTGTGGCACCATGGGACTCATATAACTCCATCTAAGTGCGTGGCAAGTACTGACGTAGACCTTTTCCACAAAAAAACAAACAAAAAAAGAAAAAACAAAAAAACAATCATTTGACTTATTGTTTTGAAAAAATCTCCTAAGCAAAAAAGGACAGTCTCTAGAAATGTCTTCAGCCACACAAAACACCAAAAGCGCCCAAAACCCTGTAGTACATGACCCAGGCCTGTGGGTGGCGCTGTAACGTTGCCACAACATACACTAAAAACAGGACACAAGGTGTGCTGCAAGCTTATAAGATTTAAAGTAAATACAACAAAAAACAGATGTAGAAAAAAACTTTTCAAATTACTCATTTGTGTTTTGTTTCCTAAGACACAAGAAAATAATAGAAACCGTGAAATGGAATTCAATTTTATTTTTAAAAAGCTTCATATTTTATATTTGGGAACAACACAAGCAGATTTAAAATCTGTGTTTTTTATTATGTTTATTTAAATACTCAATAATATTTACCTTTATGAATTCCTAATGGAAAAATTAATTCTCTACATTTTTACCACCAAACATGTGGAGCTAAGAGCTGCCATCTAAGGCACTCAGGGAGCAGCTGGAGGGTTAAGGGCCTTGCTCAAGGGCTCTCAGTGAGGCAAAAAATGGTGGAGGCAGTTGTAGGTGCTTCATCTTTCTCATCCAAATGTATGCAGATTAGACTGCAACCCTTCAATCACAAGCTCACCTTCTGTGACATCTACAGAACAACAATCCCTCTTCATTATGTGTTAAAATGGAAAGAAAAGCTACTAATATATTCTACAATGCTCTAAAGACAGAATAATCACAAACTACAAGGTTTTATTTCTTTCAAGGTTTCTTCAATTCACAAATAACTTGGAAAATCTGATCTTATTCTAATCCATCTTCCTGAAATACACTGCAGCAAAATCTAAATCTGCCCACTTTTAACCCCTCTGGTACATTACTGTATCTTAAAAAAAGGAAGAAATCATCATTTCGGACCTGTTCCTTTCTACAATTTTATTATCTACTTCTCTCTTTTAACCAACAACATGTTTTAGGATTGTTGCAGAAATATTTTATGTAATTTATTTATTTTTATGTGGGTTTGGGCAAAAGGAAAGGTATTTTTTTTGTAAATGAGACTACTGGTCTCAACAAGACTACCTGGTCTAAATCAAAGTAAATAAATATATATTTTAAATACATGCTAAAATATAAGACCACTGTTGAATTCCAAGCACATTGCAGCATGCACACATTGCAACTGGATGATAATACTCAGCATATGGCAACTGTAGCGCCACAAATTCTTCAAAGCGCCCAGTTCGGACCCAGAGCATGGGGAAACTTCAAAGTGTAGAATTATATTCTGGCCTGCATTTTGTCAAAACAGTTTGATACAATATCTCTAAGCGAACTTTCCATACAGCAAATTTTACGAACAAAAAGCACTTAAAGATTGCATCTGTTATTTTGTTATCGCTTCATCAGTTTCTGCGTGTTCTCTGGTGTAAAGATGAAAGACTATGAAATATGTCACTTCTTTTGTTCATGGTTTTGCTCTGCAGAACATTCTCCAAGGACAGAAGTCAAGTCAACATGTGTTATCAATACGGGAACAGCTGGTAAGAGCGGCATCGTGGAGCAGAGGAATGTCAGGAGTGATGGATCTTTCAGACATCAGATGAACCACACACAGTAAAATCCAACAAATGCATCTGTAGGTATACTTTAGATTAGTAAAACTCAGTACAGTGATGAATTCCTGATGTGCAAAGCTGATTTTCCCACCTCATTAATGCAGCTGAAATGGATGATGTGAAAATTGCTTCCTGTCTCTGTCTCTGCATTATTTCACAGCTCCAAGTCTTGGCAAGAGCTCAATTGCACACGGCGTGCGCCTCGCTTAAGTACACCCTGCCATTCATGAAGATTTTAAATAAACAGCTGGCTGACAGGGTGTATACACATTCTTCAGCGCATTTTTTTTTTCTTTTTTAGGTCTACATCACTCAGGAAAGGTAAGTACACGTGAAAATAAATTGACTTAACAGCCGAGTTTTTATTTTTTTCATCTAGCTCAACATTCCACAGAACATGACTTTTTCTATGACCATGTTTAACTTAAACAATGACTAAATTACCACCACATGAGTTATTGTTGGAGGGTTATGGAAAGGATAAGCATAGAAACAGCAGAATAGAGCTAATTCTTCAATAAGGAGCAAACATGGCAAACAAGCTGCACAGTAAGAAAGCAATAGCATCAAATTCTAATACCTTCTTCCTGCTAAATGTTACACAGATGCTTTTATAATCCATCATAACAGACAGCCAAAGCAGCTTGAGGGGAGTGTGGAAAAGCTCAGAGAAGTGGATGGTCTTGACCTCGCATTTCGAGGAAAGGAACAGTCGGAATTTGAGTGTTTAATCAAAATGACATGGAGTTGTTTAGGCTTTCGTGAGCAGATTGGCAGCTTCCACATCTCATCTACATTATGCTTTTCACATTCTTTCTCTTTTCAGAAAATAAATTATTATTATCTCACCTTGTTTCTCTGTTAAACCTTTTTCTGCCTATTATCAACCAAGTTAACAAATCCTAATAAATCCTGATACGTGAAAATGCAGGGTTCAGCACTTTATAGAGGTAAGAAGTTCTATCTTTTGAGGTGGTTTTGATCAAAAGTTCTTCTGGCTTTATAAAGGGTTTTGTAAAAGCTCTTCTTTTAGCCATGCCTGATTTTTTTTTACTTATTTTCAGTCAAATCCTTATAGATGACCTTAACAGTATATTGTTAGGGTTGTAAGAAAACACAGATACACCAAAATATCACAATATTTCACTTCCCAATACTGTATCGATTCTCTAAAGCACTGTATGGATTTTTAACTCAGGCTCTGTGGTTCATTTACAGTATGTGTTGTATTTTAGCCACAGACCACTAGTTGGCAGCAGTCAGCCAACTATTTGGCTCCTCCACACCTGATAAGCCAGAGAATATAATGCTCGCTCAAGTGTTAGCATTGTGAGTAAACATTAGCACTAAGTACCAATGGCTGAACCTGAGCAGATTAGACAGACACCCACTGCTTTCAAAGCTGAGGTAGGGTTGCCAAGTATTCCATTTTAGCTGGAATGTCCCATATTTTAGGCTAAATTGAAGTGTCCCATGATGCTCTTTCATCCAACTGCAGCCTGCAATCAGTGCCATCACAATACGGCAGGCAGATATTTGTCTGGACCCTTGAGCTGAAGGGGGTCATCGAGGTACTGCAGTGGCCAAATGCAATGATGACCAGATGAAACACTGAGAGCATTGAAATGACTGTTGTTAGTTTGGTGGATGACCATATTTTGTTTTATAATAAACTAATGTTATAAATCTAAAAGCTGCCAAAAATATATTATCAAATTATGTAATGGAATATTTGGCCTAACCATTAAAAACATGGATGAAGTAGGAAATATATTTTTTGGGAAAAACATGGCAATATATCATAATACAGTATATCGCTGTGCTGACAATATCACAATATATTGCAATATATCATACGTATCATGACCTCTGTGTCACATGTATCATATCACCAAATACTTGGCAATTCACAGTAAATATTGTGCAGTTTGTGCTTAAAAAAGGAACGTGATGAAAATATCAGGTAAAAAAATCGCCTGCATCACCCTTCATCTGATCTTCAGCTCTTTGGGAATCGACATGTTAGTGCTAAATACTATTTAATGTCAGATTCTGCTATTTTGGTCTTTTTGATAGATTTAGCTGCAAAAACTGAAAGAAAAAGTGTACTATTTCCAGGTTTCTGGTAAGAAAGTGCCAAAAGATCTTACTGAATAGATCATTTGCAAAGTTGTTTAAGTGTTTAACAAACATCTGGTTCATCCCTGAAGTTCAAGAGACTTATGATATCCTGAATAATTCATATGGCAATGTGGCTTAGTAATCAAATGAATGTGAATTTGAAAAATGTCTATTACTTGATTGAAAGAATAAAATACTGTAGTGGCCTCTGTTGAAAGAAAAACTCTGAAAAGCTGAATAGTGACCAATACTGCTTTAAAAGAGGATTTACTCAAGGCTTACTGTAAGTTAGTTGTTTAAGGTTGCTGAAACACTGATGTGAGACTAGTTTTGACTCATCACAACTAATGTGTAGAAATCAGACCTGCAGATATCCCGTGGGGCTTAAAAGCACTAACTTTGACAAACTGTGCATCAGGTACTGTTTGAAAGCGAAGAGTTTCCTCACATCTGTGAACCAGTGGTCATATTGACTTTGACGGTGAGCAAGTCGAAACCTGACAGGTAACTAAGTCTGACAGAAAAGTGCAGCATGAGCAGTCAAACAGTATGTATGAGAGCAGAGTACAGTTAACCCTATGATGGAAAACACCCTGACACCTGGACATCACACAGCAACTGTGTTCGTGTCGTATACCCTGTTAGCTGACTTGAACTTGAACACTGCCTCTGTCTCTACTAAAGTAGGAGAACAGGTGTTAGAAACTCCTTTAACCCTATCCGATCTCCTCCCAGCAAGGTTTAGTTTGTTGGAGTAAAGCACTTTATACATGAGCTGAAGCAAGGTCATGGCCTCTGTCAGTCAGCGGGCCTGGGATACCCCAAACTAAACACTTCAAGACTTCAGAGGTCTGTCTCCTCTCAATTTGTCTCAGCGCATCTGTTCCTGATCACCCTCAGACCAACGTTCACCCTCACAACAGTAAAACTCTTCTCTCAGTTCTTTTCCAAATGTGCTTCAGAAAGACCCTCCTAACTGGCATTTCTTCACTAATTCTTACATGAATGTTTTTGCAAATGTAAAAAAAATGTTATGGTGTACAACAAGTAAAGTATTACAACATATTTGCTATCAGTTTGTACTGAACAATACTTCCATCCCAGTGGTAAAGGAAACACTGTGACTCTGATACTTTGACTCTACAGATAACATCTTACAGCATCTGGTTTTCTGCCTCCCACGTCTTCATGGTTTGCAATAATTTGTGGTCAGCAGTACTGTTTTGCTTTCTCCCAAAGGCCAAACTGAAACATTATCTACCAACATTATGTTTAAGTCAAAACCATGGTTGTGGGCACTGGGAAGAGCGCTTCATCCACTAATTCAATAGCCTCCCTTCAGCTAACATATGGAATGAAGATGAGGAGCTAGAAGCTTGATGTCACCACTAAATGACCCTAAGGTGACAGGTTGGGAATATTTCCTTGCTCAGTGCTCGCAGAACAAAGTATGTTGATGGAATTGATGTGAAACACTATTTTTGTTTTTGCAGATGTTTCCATCCAAACTTGCCAAGGAATTGTTGTTTTTTTATTTTAATTTTTTAGCAACAAAAAGGAATGAATTACTGAAATGGTGCCTTGGTTGATGATCTATGAAACAGCCATATTATTTATTAATGACATGACTTTTAGGATAAATATAATAAGTCAGTAATATTCTGAATATTTATTATCTTTTTTTTTTTCTTGAACCATGTTTACAGTCCATAATTTGTGCAATAAACATGATAATTGCTTTGTGTCTTCTTGTTATTTTCAAAAACAACAAGCAGAATTTATTGACATAATACCAAGTCATATAAAAATGAATATGATTATGATGAAGAGTGAAATATTACAAGGCCTCCATTGGAAGCTAAAGAAGAACTGGGTGGCTGTTTTGAAAAAAAAATCCCTCATTGAAACAGAACAAAAGCTTTATCTGTTCCTTTGTAGGGCTGGCTAAATGTTTAAAAAGCCAAATGTTCACATTAAAATCTATACCATTTATTAGGAAATCTGCTGATGATTATTGTCAGGTTGTAAAAATACTGTAGGCAGATTACTTTTTATCATCCCTATGTTTGGTTCATTTGTACTAGCATAGCCAAATGCTGAAAAAAAATAATAGCAAAGATAATTATTGAAGAAGGGGGTTTGGGTAATTAGCTTACAATTAATATTATTTGTAGCTTTAATAAACAAATTAAGACACCGTTAAAAATCTACTGAATGTATGAAAGATGCAAAATACTGTATGTATTCGTTTTTTTATTATAAAATATCCAGCATTACATTAATTTGCTCAAAACTGAAATGACTACTGCTGAGGGCACATAAACTGTTTTTTATGATACCTTTTGTTCAGAATAAACAAAGTTAATGAAGTTACCTTTACATGAAATAAAAAAGCAGTATTGCAATTTGGCTTGTCCAGTTCCTAAAAAAACATGAGAAATATCTAAGTTTTGGGTCGACAAAATGGCTAAAACAGTTTCAGTATAACTAATTCATAGGTAAATGTAGGTTTAATTAAGTGAATTTATAATTTATGATGAAGCTTTTAAAAACTGTGCTATAATGTATTCAAAACTGAGTCCTGTAATTTAAATAATGCACATTAGAATCTAAGTTTTTTTTACTCAACAGTGAGTTTTTCCCCAACAGCTAATTGCTAAAATTAATTAATATCATATTTTGCTTTAGTAAATAAATGGCCAAATACATTTCTGTGTCAGTTTTCTTTTAAAAGAGCATAAAATAAACAGTTTAAAGGAAAAAGTCTGAGGTGTTTTAACACTTCAGTAGACCATGGTTTGTGTGATACTTTAGATGCTATGGAAGGTGTTATGGCAATATTTATTTAACAACAGAGACAGAAATACGTGGTCCAAGAATGAAGGTACTCCGTGAGATGATCAGCTGAGTTTTATTGCAACAACAGGAAACACAGAGAACCTGGCCTGTCTCTGTGCCTCTGCTTCTCTCTGTCAGTCTCTCCACACTGCTTTTGAACTCTGTACTACCCTGTTTTTTCCCTGTGTCTCGAGAGGCCTCATATATATTTTAACAAACACCATAATGTCATCTTAGCAAGATTTGATACAAGGTCAATGGA